AGCAGTTGTTTATAATAAGAACATCAGATGCTAGGATTAGGACTAGCAGGTATCAAAAACTTGCTAATTAAAGGTGTTAAGACATTAATGCAAAAGTATTGCCTAATCATAATGTCAGTTAATCTAAGATTATTAAGTCTTGCATTGTATCAGTTATCATATGGTTGGAAAATATATGTTAGTACTCATATATGAGTCTTATAAATATAATTTTTAATTTGGCCTTATATTATCATGATTATTTTGTTGAAATAGATCACAAGCATTTAAAGAAAAAAATGGTTTGGTTTGGGCTGCCAGTCTATAAATTTAATAAAATTTATTTATGCTTCTAAACTTTTTTTTGTCTTTATTTTTTTTTTGGTTTTTTCAAATCTGGTTGTAAAGTATGTATATTTAAAAAAAAGAAAACTAAAGTTTACCAGTATGTATGTGTGTGTTTGCGTATGTGTACATTTGTTACTTAGTTAAAAAGATATAATAGAACTGAAAATAACAAACGAAACAAATCTTTAAGCGCGACTCCTGTGTTTTGGCTTTTTTGAGTTTTCTGATATGGCAATTTTGGCTTTATTTTTGATATTAGAGATGCGCTACTATTGTAGATATCAGTGATTTAAACTCTTATCCAACATCGATCTAGCATTCGAGTCTCATTAATGTAACAATAAACTAAGTTAAGCGCTACACTAACTTAATGATATAGAAAAAGTTATTAACTTTAAAGTATTGTTTAATTAGGTTTAAACTATTAATTGTGATACTTCTAAATTAAAAAAAATATTGTTTTTATACTTTTATTTTTTCCTAGTTTATCCTTTACTTGTTTTAAAATTTAATAATTTTTTTTCTCTTTTCAGTTTATGTTAAATATAAATTTTTTCTTGAAATCAGTTTCGTTTTTTTATAGCACTTTTTAAGCATGCAAAAAATGCACTCAAAAAATATAGCCAAGTTTTCCAAAAATAAAAGGAAACCCAAATTTTTTTTTTTGTTACATACTTTTAATTAAGTTATTATTTTATTATTTAATTATTAAACTTTTTTTATTAAAGAACTATAAATAACTAATATTATTTATTTTATTCTTATAATTTTTAAAATTCTTATGTTTTATTAATTTTCTTATTCTATTTATAAAAAGCTAATTGTCTAATACAAGTAAGTATGCATCAGTATGCATTAACATTGTTACGTCTGCATTAATAAATATTAATTTTGTTACCTCTGTATTAGTATATAATAACATTTTTATCTCTGTATTTCTAAATATTAATTTTGTTACTTCTGTATAAATATGCATTAACTTTGTCTAACCTCTTTCTAACTTTAAAATTTATCTCAAAAAATTCTTAATATTAACTTCATATATCATATATATATATATATATATATATATATATATATATATATATATATATATATATATATATATGATATATGAAGATCATATATTTATATATATATATATATATATATATATATATATATATATATATATATATATATATATATATATATATATATCATCCATAAGAATTAGAAAAAATGAGTAGTCTTACATGGCATTCGAAAAATGTTACTTCCATAAACTGCAGTTTTAAAGAGAAAACTACTAAACCAGACCAGAAAAAGTTCAAAAGTATTATAGAATTATTATATTATAATATTAATCATTATTGGGAAATAATTGTATATACTTGTTTATATATATATATATATATATATATATATATATATATATATATATATATATATATATATATATATATATATATATATATATATATATATATATATATATATATATATATTTATATATATATATATATGCTGCTTTAAATATTTTTTGCAGATACATGTCAGATGGTTACCAATGTAATAGAGGACATCCCAACTCCTTTAAAGAAAGCCAGAAATATCACTAAAATGCCAATACTGGATACAGAGTTTATAATTTCATTTGATTTCATTCCTTATTCATTTAGCAATAATTTAAGTAGTATTATTCATTTCATTAATGATTCTAATAATATTAGAAATGGTTATCCAGGAGTTTGGCTTGATAATCTTGGAGTTCTTCAAGTTTTAGCTCTGATTAATGGTACTGATTTCATATATCGCAATTATGCACTTCCTCTATATCAATGGTCAAAAATCGAGATCAGTCAAATTTTTTCAAATGGAAGTTATTTGTATAGGATTCAAGTCAATAATGTATACATTATATCACTAATAAACACACAAGTTCAAAGTTTTAAAAATGTTATAATATATGCTTCAAATCCATGGGATGTTTCTCAAAATGGTTCAATAAAAAACCTTTTTGTTGCAAACAATCAAGCAGTTTTATCAAGTAATGTTCTTTTTTAATACTTTTATATGCATACATTGTGAAGGTAATAATTTATTTTCAAGGTTGTATGTTATTTTGTAAACTAACATACAAATTTGTAAATTGACTTTGGTTTGAAGACAGTTTAATTAAATTCACTTCAGAATTTTGTCAATATAAAAAATTAATAAACTTATAACAATTTATTTAAATACTATCTTTATGTAAAATATGTCTACTAAATAAATATTATAGTCATAGCACCTTTGTTTAAATTGAAACAAGATTATTATATATTATGCTTCCATTATATCATGCAAATGTTTTTTTTATTTATTTATGATATATAAATAAACATATTTGCATTTATAACTAACTTATGTAAAGCTAAAGATAAATTACGTTATGTAACAAAAATTCAGCAAGTTTTATTTTATATAGTTTGTTAAGCTTTTTAATTTCAAAATGCTGCTACACTCATATCTATATCATATATCTTATATCATTACTCCCTATTAAAAGCATTTTGAAGAGAAAGATATTAAAGAAAATATGTATAATAGGTAGTAACAATTGTTTTAAAATTTGTTTTAAATTTTATTTTAACAAAATTGTTTTAAATTTTATTTTAACAAAAACAAGTTTTTTTTTTTTTTTGTTGAACAATAATAAATGATTCGGCTAAATAGTATTTGTTTTATTACTATATATAAGCAATCAAAATTTTAATATAAGTATGGAAATATTGTTTTTTATACAGAGTTACCACCAGTCGTTAAAATTCCTTTTATTTGAAAGTAGTTTTAGAAAATCCTTTTTTTTCTTCGTTATTCTAAAAAATCCTGAAAAAGTTTTGGAAGTTTGCATATTTCACAATTTATTATTGTTTGTTTCAAATATCTTTCTCCTTTTTTTTTTTTTTTTTTTTTTTTTTAATTGTTTTTAATGGGTTTTCTAAAACTACCACATACAAAAATGCAAAAAGTTTATCAAAACAAAATTTAAGTTTTTTACACATTACTTTTCACAAACATTGTCAAATGTTAAAACTGAATTTTTTATTAAAACGTCCTATATATTATTTCAATTAAAAAAAAATGTTTTTTTCAAAAGGTTTCCGACCAAAAGTTTAGAAATAGTATCATTCACCACAATTATATCAAGTTTTGTAAGCAAAACCAAAATTAAAGCTCAAGTTTTTGCTAAGTTTAATAAATTACTTAATTTGAAATTTGAAAAGCATTAAAGTAAATAATACTTAAAATATTTGTAAAATTTAAAGTTCAGTTACTTAATTATGCTTTAAAAGCATTTAAAAGGTTATGGAAGTTTTAATTAATGTAAAGATTTTAATTATAGAAGCGGACTTACAGAAAGATTTATGGGGACTAACAGAAAGATTTCTGTACTTAATTCTGCCATATTTTTAACTCAATTTTAATTTTAAAAAGTCATATTATAACTTACTAACAATTGTTAGTAAGACTTCGGTTAAACATAATTTCAACATTTTGATGTTTTATGTTATTTTAGGCTCCCCTAAAGATATGTTCTGAAAAGTTTTAGAATATTTTTTTTTTCATAAGTCATGTATTAGTCCTTGAAATAATGGAGCAAATGCTCTAGAAAGTTACCAAAATTATCCTGGGAAACCCAAATCATCATGGATTTTTTTTTTATTTTTTATTTGGTACAAATTTTGTTATACTATCTACTTGCTTTCCTTTTAAACACTTTTAAACACTTAGTTACCACTGTATTAGTATGTATCAAATTTGTTGTCTCTGAAGAATTAACTTAGTGTTTTATTTTGTTTAAAACGGTAATAATTGTCTTACAAATTAAATTAGTATTTATTTATTGAAATAATTAAATTTGAAATATTATTGAAGGTTCTTTGCTTTAATGAAACATTTATGTTTATTAATATTATTATTTTGATTTATACATATTCTCTTAGACCTAAATATTAAATTATTTCAAACTTTTCTTTTCTTGTTATTATAGTTTTTTTTTTCTAGTTTTTTTTTTTCTTTAAATACTTTTAATTAAGTTATTATTTTATTATTTAATTATTAAACATTTTTATTATTAAGGAACTATAAATAGCTAATATTATTTATTTTATTCTTATAATTTTTAAATTTCTTATGTTTTATTAATTTCCTTATTCTATTTATAAAAAGCTAATTGTCTAATACAAGTTAGTATGCATCAGTATGCATTAACATTGATATGTCTGCATTAATAAATATTAATTTTGTTACCTCTGTATTAGTATATAATAACATTTTTATCTCTGTATTTCTAAATATTAATTTTGTTACTTCTGTATAAATATGCATTAACTTTGTCTAACCACTTTCTAACTTTAAAATTTCTCTCAAAAATCTCTGAATATTAACTTTGTTACCTCTGTATTAGTATGTGTTAACTTTGCTACTACTTTATTAATAAATGTTAACGTTGTTTTATTTGTATTAGAAAGACTTGTATTCAAAAAGATTTTAACTTTATTAATCGCTTGATTAATTAGTACCAAGTCGATTTTTTGTTTCTTTTTACTCAATACATTTTTTTTTAACCAATTAAGTTTAATGTACAGTATTAATTATGTTTTATTACTATAGGTTCTTTGCTACAATGGAGCAACTGGTCAACCTGTAATACATCAAATGGCTATGGATTTACTAACAGAACAAGATACTTGGGTGATAAATGCTATACAGAACAAAAGCAATGTTATGTATATAAAGGTATAAAAATATAAAATTGAGTAAAAATAGAATAACAGAAAAAAAAAATAGTAAAACATAAAACTTACAAGCTATAAGTAAATTAAAATTGTATTTCTCATAAGTTTGTTATATCTTTAAGCTCATACTTTTTATGTACATTATTTTTATGAACTCAGTAATGCAACTCAAATTTATTATATAACACAGTTATCAGTTTATTTAAGACCTTTAATTTATTTATAAATACATTAGGTGTTATAAGTACCATAATCAAATATGTAATGCATTTAGGCTACTCATAAGTTAAGTGTGGCTATATAAGCAAAAACAATTTAAACAAACATTTTTGGCTTTTCACACTAATGCAAAAAAAAATTATATTTATTGTTTTATGTTCAACATCTAAGTATACAGTCATTTAAGTATATGAAAAGTATACTTGAATGATGAACATAAAGCAGCTTACATTAAATTTTCTGGTCATGAAAGGTTACTTTTAAAAAAAAGTTTCAAAAATCAATTTATGGCATTCAAATAAATTGAAGATCTGTTATGTTTTTTAAATACACTTTGTATACTTGGAGGATTAACATAAAACAATAAATAAAATATTATTTTTTGAAATAATGTCAAAAAATAAAAAATAAAAGCCAAAAGAGTTAGTTTAAATTGTCTATATAGCAAAACAAATATATCATTATACGAAGAATGTTTTTAAGTTGCATGGTGGTGTAAATCATATGAGCGTTTCATATTTGTAATATTGACCACAATTTATCTTAAATAAATGCCTAATATCTGTGATTTATAAGCAAAGGTTCAATTTTTGTAGTATAGGTTTATAAAATGTAATATTTGGTACATAAAAAAAAATTTGTTTAGACAAATTTAATTTTTTACAAAGCAATAAAAAGGAGACAATCCTTACAAAACATATATGTTTAAAAGAAATTAAATCTAAAATTTAATTTTTTTTAAATATAATCATTAAATGAAATATTTTTGCTGCTCAAAAAATGTGGTTCCTGTTAATTGCAGTAGTTCTTATAAATTGTTGTAATACTTTATTTGTGTCATATTTATTGATAAACTATTGCAAACTTAACTATTTGTGACACTTTACAACAAAATCAACCTAAATATTTGACAAGTTTTCACAAAACATGTTAAGTTAAGCAATTTTTAATTTTTTAATTTTTACGTTTTTGTGTAATTATTTAATATTTTATAATTTAAAATGTCTATGCATGATAAATATTTTTTTCAATTTAACTGTTTCAAAAATAACATGAATAAAAAAAATTTTAACTATATGTATAACTTTTTAAATTTCAGGTTTTGTAAATTTAGCAAATTTGTTGATTAGTAAATTAACTAAAGCTGTAGAGGTGTAGTGGTAGAGTGCTAGCCTCATAAGCAAGAAGTTCCGAGTTCAATCTCCACCACATCCCTGGTAGTACCAGGCTCAACTTGTTTCTCTGTGCAAGTGTGTTAAAGTTTGTGCTTCGCAGTTATAATGTTGAGAGAGGGTTGTAGCCACAACTGGTCTAAGATTTAGTTTAAAATATTTTGTCAAGTAATTAGAACTTCAAATGTCAAAAATTTTTTTTTTTTTTTATATTAATTAACTCTTGTTCTCAATAATGTTCAGGTTTTCTTCTTTTTAGTAACAATAAACAATAAACTATTTCTAATATGGTTTATTTCACTTTAGGGTATTCACTGTTTTATTAAGGTTTTTTCACCTTAATAATACAGTGAATACCCTAAAGTGAAATAAAATCTTTACCTAATAACAATAGCAACTTTATTTATTTATTTATTTTTAAACATTTTCTGATATTATTAACTAGCTTATTTATCTTAATGGTTAAATATTTTTTATAAAGCAGATAAACATAAACCCACCCAAAACCTAAAATATAATATATTGTGTATATATATATATTGCAGGAGTTATCTATTAATGTTTTTTAATAAAGCATTTGATATAAATAGTAATATAGAATTTTCTAAAATTTCTGGCGAGAAAATATATAAACCTAAATGAATCATACTATTATGCATGAATTAGCATTAAAATATAAATTTAAATTAATTTAGCTGTTAATCAAAACGTAATAAACTTCAACTATTCCTATTATGTTATGAACTTAAAAGTTACTAAGTAATAAATCTTACACGCAAACTGTTGAAATTAAATTATTGAAAAATGTTGAAATTGAGTTATTCATCAGTAAATAAAACTTTTTAAATAATAAATTCAAAAAAGATACTTCTGTCAAATTCATATAACAACATAAAACTATATCAATCTACAATATTTAACAATCTAATATATAAGGAAGCAATTTGATGTTAATAAAATATGCATGACTACCATTAGCATATTACTTGTTATGGTTTAAATATAATTGCTTTATAACAAACACTACTTTTAAAACCGCAGGAACAGGTTGGTTGTCATATAAAGAACTAAGGAATTTTTTCAGTTTGAATATACTTTAATTTTTGGCAACATATCTACCTTTCGACTGATAAAAATATTATGCTGGTCTAGCCATTGTGAAATTTCTTTTTTGTAAAAGATTTAATTGTCTTCAATTATACTATTTATTTTATATGATTTGTTATTCATATGGTTTGCTGTTATATGGATATTAAAACGATAAGGAAAGTTTTTTTTTTATCTAAATGTTGCAAAAACATCTCCATTTTTCCAGTTTTCTTTTTATTTCATCATTCCATAAAAAAACTTTTTTTAAAAGTAACAAAAAAAAGCCTAAGTAAAATTTTATTTTCTAAGGTTTGTGTATTTTTTGGAATGTATTTGTTATCATTTGGTATAATTTTATCTTAACATGTGAAATTTATTTAAATATGGAAAAAAATATAATTAACATGGTATAAAAAAATATTATAAATATAAGTCCATTTTTGCTTTCCATACAAGTTAATTTTTGTTGTTTCTGAATAACTTTTGCAAAATTTTACAAAACGTTATTTAAATAGTAGGTTCAAAAATTTAATTTTTTTTAAGTTTAGCATCCACATTTCAACCCTTTTGTGATTTGGACAGGTTATTGTTATGTTTTTTTAATTTTTATTAATATTATAAAGTATATGTAGAAGTCATCCATGAAACAATATGATTAGTATTTAGTTTGTTATTGTTTAATTTGTTTATGTGTTTTTTTTAGCTTTTAATTGATCATATTTAATAAATAAGTGAGCATCAGACAGAAATAGTTGTCTATAAATTTTGTCTGTCTTATAGTCTTTTTTAAGTTTTTGAATTTAGCAATAAAGTACAAACAAATTTTTCGCTTTACCTTTTCACATTTTGATAAATTAAATTATTTATATTTGTCGAACACTGCTTAACACTGTTTCTATACAAGGGTATGATTGAATTTTCTTAGAGTTTCCAAAAGTTTTAATGTTTAGCATGAAATTTAAATAATAATAATAATAATAATAATAATAATAATAATAACAGTAATGATAACAATAATATCAAAGTAATAATAAAACAAGGAAAGATCTGAATAGAAAAAAAGAGTGTAAGTATAGAAACCTCCCCCTCCTTTTCTAAAGAAAATAATTGTATAAACCTCTCTCTCCTCTTCTAGGGGCAAAATTATCAAAGTATTGTTTAATATATTGCTTTTTATGATATTATTTTATAAATATTATTTAATAGTAGTTTATGTATATTTTTTTTTAATATTTGTTATTAATTACTGTATTGAAATATTTTAGCTCCATTGTGGAATGTTTTTAACGCAGTTTCTATGCAAGGGTTCGTTTGAATTTTCTTAAAAGTTAAATTTTTTTAGTTACTATTAAAACGTTTCAAGTTTCAGAAGTTTAATATTTTTTGTAGCTTCATATAAAAGAATAAAATAAGGATAAAAATATTTAAGAAAAATGTTTAAAATGAATATTTTAAAAGATAAAAATATTTGAAACTTTATTCACATTTAAAAATGAGTTCGAAAACTATTTTTTTTTTTCCTTTTTTTTTCCTTTTTGTTTTTACTTTGTTCAATTCTAATTTAAATTTTCTACTATTAGAAATTCGATTTTCCTAAACTTACAAATTTATCCTACATTTATAAAACCATCAATTGTTAGTTTGGAGTTTGAATATTTTTTGCCACCATTTTTTACGTTTATATCTGATAGTGTTGTTCAACACTTTATTAAGAATCAATCCAATCGACTTAGGTATTCGGTAAGTTATTTTCCATATTTTTTTTCACTAATTAAGTATTAAAAGTTTAAATTAATTATGTTTATTCCGAATTAAATTTCAGTAGTGAAAGTTTTACTATATTAAACCTCAGGGTCTAATCTAAGTTATGTATTTGCTTATTTAATGGAAACCAAGACGAAAAGATTTACAAAATAGATTTTTTGTATTATAAGTCTGTGGATAGTTTATTGAATAAAAAATGATAGTTTTAAAATGAAGTGGTTTTTTATTATATGCCAATTTTTTTATTCGTTTTTTTTTGTTGGAACATAAGTAGATTCAAGTAATTTTTTTTGAAAAATAAACTAAATAAATTATTTACATTGCTACATGTTTGAACATTTTACTTAAAACCTCTGAAGTTGCTTCCACTGAAAATATTGATGTAATTATTTCTTAAGATATTTATTTCCTAACAGAATAACAATTTAAAGTAAACAGAAGTCATAAGGTTATTTTTATTGCAACAGGAACTTTCATTTATTGTTTCTTGATCAGATAATCATATTTTTTACTATCATCTTTAAAAGTGGAAAATGTTTTAAAAACAAGTTAAAAAAGAACTACATAAGTTAGTGTAATTGTGGAAAAACTGTTTAGAACTTCTATAATCTTGCAAGAGTTAGGAATTTTACATAAAGTATTTAGCAAAGAGTTAGGAATTTAACAATTTATCTTACATTACAAAGCTTACATTGCTTTCTTTATTTAACAAATAAAGAAAGCAATGTAAGCAATGGGATAACTATCACTGCCTTTTACTATATTTCTAAAATAATTTTTTATGATATTAATTGACTTTTTTTTTTTAATCTGTTATGTCTTTTTTTTTTTTTTTTTCTTAATTTAGTTCAATGGAAATTTTACTTATTCGGATTCATTTAATTACAATTTTACTGCAACTTATAACAACTCGCTGTGTCCAATCTCTGGTGTGTTTATATTAGAAATTCCCTTAATGTTGTCACTCCAAGTTGAAACTGAAAAGCGTGAGAGAATAGTTAGAACATTTCAAAAACATGTTGAATGTTTCAACAATCCAAAAATACCAGTCAGTCCAAATCAAGAATTTCTTAAAGGTTTTTCTTTTGTTTGTTTTATGAACACAATTAAACTTGTTTTACAGTTTACATTGTTAGTGTTGTTTTTTTTTTAAACAATTTGTATACTTCAATCTATAGAAACCTATGGGCGAGGAATATATTGGGATGAATATAACAATCATACATATGTATGTATGAGTCAACATTATCCCAGGTAAAGAGTTGTAACTTTATATTTGAAGTTAAGTGTGTTTTGGGATTTTATGTTAAACAATTCATAAAAAATGTAAAATCAATTCTGTTTTTTTTTTTGTTTGAAATGAATCAGCTTATTGTTGTTATAGTTATATCAGTAATAATTATTCCTAAACTTTGTTGAGCAACTTTGTAATAATGTTCTAAGTAATAATTTTGTAATATATATATGTGTGTTTACATATATATCAGCCCTCAGGTTTGAGAAAAATAAGACCGGCTTTAATTATCCGATCTTAATCTGTGTGAGGCCGGTATTGTGTTAGCAGAAAAAATGTAAAACAAAGGTTTGATCATAACAGTTCCGAAAATTATATAATTTCTAAAATTAATTTTTATCTTCATTTGTTTGTCAGTTAGCAGACTACAACATCTAAGTAAGAAATCATAATCTAGACTGTTGTACTTTTTATTTACTGATCTAGAATTCACACATGTTAACTTCTTTTAAACTATTTTATAACTACTCATCGCTCACACTTATTAGGGTCTTCGTGGGTCCTAAGATTCTTCCCCACAGGATCCTGTGTTTTATTAATTATATGGTAAAAATTAGTTTATTAGTTGTTACTGAAATATATTCTCTCTATATATATATTCTTCTATAAATAAATTCTATTCTCTCCCTATAAATCTCAAATCCGACCTTGTATGGAATACTGTTGGCATATCTGGGAAAGATCTTCTAATGATGCCGTTTCTCTTTTAGACAAGGTGCAAAAACGCATTGTAAACATAGTTGGACCTGCTCTTTCACCCAACCTTCAACCTTTGTCACATCATCATAATGTTGCTTATCTTTCTCTTTTCTACAAATACTATAATGGGCACTGCTCTAAAGAGCTAGGGTCTCTTTGTGCCATTTACTAAAATTCGTTCTCGTGTTACTCGTCATTCAATTAAGTCTCATCTTTTTTCTGTTACTGTTCCTAAGTGCTCGATCCATTATTCCATTATTCTTCTACATTATTATCATTATTATCATTATTCTCATTACTCCATTATTCTTCTAGTTTTTTCCCTCAAACATCAGTTCTTTGGAATTCGCTCCCTTCATCTTGCTTTCCTGTTTTATATAATTTGCAACCTTTTAAGTCGTCTTTTAATTGTTATCTTAATCTACAATCTTCGGCCTTTCTCTTCCAGTAACTTCCAACACTAATTAGTGGTTGCTTGCAGCCTTGCTGGAAGCGAAAATGTTTAAAAAAATATACATACATTTTTTAAAATAAATCAATTTATTATTTATTATTAAAACATGTAAAACAAGTTTTGTTCTGTGTATTCTGTTTATTAAATGCCACATTAAACATTTACTTTAGTACAAAACCTGTATGTTACTACTCTGATAATGAAGGATATTTATGGACAGGTGATTTGATTTTTTTAGTTATTAGTTTATTTAAATTGCTTAACGCTATGAAAGCAAGTTTTTTTTATTCTTATCTAATTTTGCAGTTAGAATTATCTATAGAGATATTATTTTTAGAAAATATAAAAAAATATATATACAAATTACTATTTCATGTAGAGAACTTAGTGATCCCAGGAAAATATTTTTACCTGCTGTCACTGGGTTGATTAGGAAATTCTGATTTAAGTTAAAAAATAAAAATAAATGTTTATTTTAACAATTGTAATGGAGCGTTACTTATTCAGATTATTTAAGGTTGTCTTCATTTTTTTAAATTTTGTGGCCAAAATTTTATAGGTTTTATATATTATAAACTATATTGCGCCAATATAGCAATGTGAACATTTTGCCAATATTGGCGCTACAATATTGTGCCAATATTGTTAAGTCAATATTGGCCAATTATGGCGGTACAATATTGCGCCAATATTGTTAAGTCAATATTGGCCATTATTGGCTGTACAATATTGCGGCAATATTGTAAAGTCAATATTGGCCAATATTGTCAAAATGTTCACATTGCAATATTGGCGCGATAATGTTAAAAGTATTACGCCAATATTGTAAAGTCAATTTTGGCCATTATTGTCAAAATGTTTTCATTGTAATATTGGCGCGATAATATTAAAAATATTGCGCCAATCTTGTAAATAATATCGCACCAATAATGGGTATAAAACACTGCCCAAAATTGGCGTAATATAGTTTACAATATTATCCCATTATATATAACTATATTAAGCCAATATATTGAGTATTTTCGATTGAATTTTTATTATTAAAAAATAATTAAAAATAATGTCTTAAATGTCTTAATAAAATTTATAGCAACTTTCTTGTTTAAATCATACTATTATAGTATTATTTAAACAAGAAAGTTGCTATAAATTTTATTTATTAAAAATTTGAAGACATTGTTTTTAATCATTTTTTAATAATAAAAAGTACTATAGTATAGTACCACGCTGCATTATTCTTTGAGTTAAACAGGTTATAGTCCAGGAGATAATTATCATAGAACAAGCTTTAAGAAAAAAAAATATTGTAAATCATTAATTTTATTTGAAGCTATATGAAATAGATACAAATAAAAAAAAGAGGTATAGAGTGCTCCTAATTGAAAGTATAATATAATAAAATCAATGAAATTTAAATACAGGCACAAAAATATATATTTATATATATATATAAATATATAAATTATATATATATATATATATTATATATATATATATATATATATATATATATATATATATATATATATATATATATATATATATATATATATATATATATATATATATATATATATATATATATATATATATATATATATATATATATATATATATATATATATATATATATATATATATATGTATATTATATATATATATATATATATATATATATATATATATATATATATATATATATATATATATATATATATATATATTTACAAATTACTGTATTATGCTCTGAATACCAGATAGTAGGCATTGACTTTCATTATTTTGCTGATACTTATTTCAAAGCTCAATATTGGACGTTGCTCAATTATGCTTATATTTTTTTTTCTCTATCTTAATCTCTATCAATGCCCGTTGCCAGAAAGCGGCCAATATTTTCTTCTATACTTTTGTCAGAAATAAATTCGAATTGAACGAATACAACGATAAATGATTAAAAAATTAACGAACACAACTCTATAATATGTTTTTTTAATATCATCACAATATAATTTTGAAATATATAATTTTTCACACATAACTATTGTAAAATAATTAGCCCTTACTAAAATATTTGTTTATTAAAATGAAATGGGATGTAGAATACAAGTATTTTGCTTTACATAATTAGTTGTATTAAAAGTTTAATGGTTCCTTTTTTTGTGATTGTTTTTCATCAAAAAAGGAAAGCATCTTGTGTGATGCTTTTCTTTTTTGCAGATCAGGACTGATTTTTTTTTATAAAACTTTTATAATGTAACACTAGGAAGAATACCAGAATTTCATTCAAGTTTGGGAGTTTCTTCTACCTATGACCACAACTACACAGTAGTATAAAAATTTTCCAGAATAGGTTGTATTCGCCACAGCAAAAGCTGTGGTGAATACAACCTCTTACATACAATCCTTTTTAACTGATAAATAAATTCAATAAATTGAAAGAGATAGTGAAGCAAAGTTCTAATGAAAACAGTTAACCCTAAAACACTAGAGATTTCTTCAATTTTTGAAAAACTAATAGACAATCTCATTAGTGTCACTTTTTTGTAAGGCATAGATAATTCTTCTTCATCACTTTCAACAGCCGTTTCAACGCTTGATGTAAACTCTAACGTTTCTATCTGTTGTAAAGCAGTCTCATAACTGTCAAAAAAAGTATATAGAAAAGATAAAACCATACTAAACAATGCACATTTACTTTATTTGAGTCAAATATAGCTGTTTAGATTATTAGCATCTTGCACATGTGTAACTTAAAATTAAACAAGCAAAAACAATATTGTAAAAAAATACAATTACCTAAATAAAATAAAATTTTTATTTTCAGCTGCTTCCAGTTACTTTTAGAAGTATGACTTTACGTAGGTCAGCCTAAAGTCAAGATACTTGCAAGTGATCGGGCCAATACACCAAACTTTCATTGATCAGTCATGAAAAACAGATTACATTCATGGCACAAATATTGTTGTTTTTTTATTAAAAAATGCAGCCCGAGCCAATTTTCTAAACTTTATTGTTATCTTTAGTTTAGCGGTACAACAGCTAAAAAATTACAGCAAAAAAAATATATGATATATGAAAACTTCAGATTAACTTTTTTTTTTCAGATTATTATTTTTTTTAACTAAAAATAATAGTCTAAAATTTATTGAGTTTTATTTCCTTATGGAAAAAGTAATCGCTTTTTATTTCAAGTAGAGTTTGATTATAGGTTAGTAAAAGAAAGTGAATTTGTAAGTTTGTGTGGTTTGGAAAGGTTTCCATAATAACATTTTTTTAATTATATATGGCATTAAGGAAGAGTAAGGAGTATGTTACAATTTTATTTTTATCAGTGTTTTCATTCTCCATTAAAGGTTGCCTTTACTACGGTTAAAGAGCCCTAGTAAATGCACCCTGAAGACAACCAACTTGAGGCTCTAAGAAAATCTTAGAGTTGTATAACTGTACTATTTGAGATTTTAAAAAATGATAAACAGCATTTGTTATTCAAGTATTAGGGTTGGTTTTATTAAAGTATGATATGTCATCAAACTTGACATTAGAGGATTTTAAAGTATCTTTAGGAATATAACTATTACAAGAGTTTTGATGTAACATATTGTTATTATTATTATTATTATTATTATTATTATTATTATTATTATTATTACTATCTAAGGTTATAGTTTTACAAATAGAGTAATTAGTTAAAATAAGCCTATCAATCTTTTGTTCTATTGTATCTACTTGTGTCGGTCTAATCATTTATATGCGATTGTACATATGATAAAAATGTAATATTGCATAAAAATCCCAATAAGCATCTAGATGTTTTTTTAAACGTTGTGAAAGATGTTGAACATGTTGTTTCAGATGGTAGACTATTCTACAAATTTGAGAATTGCATACTTAAAAAGTTTTTCTGGACATCTGTCTTACAAAACATTTTTTTAAATTTATAAGCGTGACCGCAGGTGCTGATGGGTAAAATACTGAATGGTATTTATGAGGATAACGAAAGGGTTGTAACTACATTATGAATGCATTTGTAAGTTTCTGCCATGTCATTATGTAAGAAATGAATGCTCATGCTAGTTAAATTTAGTCTCAGTAGTCTTGGGTTGTCAGTGATTCAAGTCAGTCCAAGAACAAATTTACTAGACTTGCGTAAAACATTTTCAATTAATTGTTGGTCTAAAGTTTAGGATAGTAGACAGTGCTGCAAGAATCAAGGTGAGGACTACCAAGGAAAAAAACAAAAGTACGAAATGTCAAGATATTGAGATTGACAAATGATCTTTGATTATTCCAACATTTTTATCGGCACTGTTATGCTTTGTACTTACAAAATAAGAGAAAAGTCAAATTACTTTCAACAAAGTTCCCTAAGCCTTTATTGACGAGTGAGTTTTTAAGGTGAATTAAAGTATTGAGAATCATATTGACGAGTATATAAATGAATTTTGTGTTTGTTGGTCCTAAGGGCATAACTTTATATTTTTTTACATTAAAACTTAGTTTTCATAGTTTTTCTCAGTTTACTATAATGACCATATCTTTTTGCAGGTTATTGCTTGGTGAGCTATCAGAAAGCAAATTGTATAACTTAGTATTATCTACAAATACAGATACAACATCTAAAACCAAATCAAAAAAATCATTAATATATATCATAAAGTAAATAGTAGGGCTCTCCACTATTTAATAATATCCATTCTGTGTATGTACAACGATACTGATTCTCTGCTGCCGATTTTTTGGGTAACATTTAATCCAATTGCAGAGTTTTTTATCTATTTTATAAGCTTTTAATTTTAGAAGTTGGAGGTAGTTGTGAAATGTGTAGAAAGACTTCAATATATATGGATTTAAATTTTCTATATTAGTTTAATTTTCCAATGTCAAAGCATCGATCCTCACTAAATTTTTTTGCATTTTTAAAGTCACATTTTGTCAAAAATTTACGCAATTTTAATTTAATCTTGTTCACCTACTTAATATAATGCAATTTAGCAGATCTAGTTTTACTTGTTTATTTTTTTATTACCTATAACATTGCAATATAGGTAATAAACAAATAAATAACTATTGCATAGAATAAAGTTCTATATAAAATAAAAGACATAAAAAAATATTTTTATTGCAAAATTAATCTTGTAATAAATTTATAACTGGATGGGTGTGTGTGTGTTGTGTGTAAATTTATAAATGGATGTGTGTGTTATGTCTAAATTTATAAATGGATATGTGAATGTTGTGTGTGTAAAGGTCAATAATATACATATATATATATATATATATCTATATATATATATATATATATATATATATATATATATATATATATATATATATATATATATATATATATATATATATATATATATATATATATATATATATATATATCTATACATATATATATATATATATATATATATATATATATATAAACACACATATATATATGTATATATATACATATATATATATATATATATATATATATATATATAAATATATATATATATATACATATATATATATATATATATATATATAAACACACATATATATATGTATATATATACATATATATATATATATATATATATATATATATATATATATATATATATATATATATATATATATATATATATATGTATATATATATATTAAATATATATATATATATATATATATTATATATATATATATATATATATATATATATATATATATATATATATATATATATGTATATTATTGACCTTCACACACACAACATTCACATATATATATATATATTATATATATATATATATATATATATATATATATATATATATATATATATATACATATATATATATATATATATATATGTATATATATATATATATATGTATATATATATATATTTATATATATATATATATATATATATATATATATATATATATATATATATATATATATATATATATATATATATATATATATATATATATATATATATATATATATATGTATATATATATATATTATATATACATATATATATATATATATATATATATATATATATATATATATATATATATATATATATATATATATATATATATATATATATATATATTTATATATATATATATATATATATATATATATATATATATATATATATATATATATATATATATATATATATATATATATATATATATATATATATATATATATATATATATATATATATATATATATATATATATATATATATATATATATATATATATTATTGACGTTATTAGGTGTCAAGCAGGGGTACCTTTTTTTAATTTAAACATTATAATAGTTAGAAACAATTTTAATTCCTTATTTATTTTTTAAATCATTATCTTTAACAAAATAAATAGATTATAAAATTTATATATTACAAATGAGATCTTTCTAAAATATTTTCATTTAAGAACTTACTATTTTAATTATTATACTTATGGTATTGCAATATTTTCCCACTTCTTCTTGTAATGTAATATGTTTTAAATCAATTACAACCACCTCTTCTCGTGATTCAATCAGTAAATGTTGAATAAAAGGATTTTATTACTTTTACCACTTCTTCTCGTTATACAATCTGTATTAAAATGAATTAAAAATCTTTTTCTTCTGATTCAATCTGTAAATGTTGAATTAAAATTACTTCTCCTACTTCTTTTCTTTTCATAACTTAAAATTTTTATTTTTAAATCTGATTTTTTTTCGTAAAAAATTAATAACATAAGGATGTCTCTTTATTTAAAAAGATGCTATAGTTTACATTTAAACACATTTAACAGCACTAATGGACATTATGAATTTTCCATAATGTTACGTATGCATACCAATATGTAAAAATGTTAAAATGTTAATTTAAAGCCAATATTGGAAAACAACATTTCGCCAATATTGCGAAATATTGTTTCAATGTTAGTGAAACAACAATGGGGTAATATTGATATTCTAATAGTAGACAATATTAATATGCCAATATTGGCGCAATATTGTTTGCCAATATTGGTAAGGCAATTTTGGCGTTATATTGCTTAACAATATTGGCGCAATATTTGATAACTTGGCCAAAATTGGCCAAGATACCCAATATTGCGCCAATAATTTTTACAATACTTGGGTAACATACAATACTTGGGTAACATACTTACTATTAATTGAGTTGGGTAAGTGTTTTGCCTTGATTAGATTTTTTTTTTTTAATTTTTAGACCAAATCAGCAAAACTCATTTTTAATATTTGTCGCAATAATGTTTTACAAAATTAAATAAGTTCTGTCTATAATTCAAAAATAACCTATGTTTTTTGATTTTAAATTATGTTTTGTATTATGCAGCAATAAATATGCAAATCAGGAATTGGAATTTTTTTCAAGATATATCTCTTCGAGCATTGATTTTTAAAAGTTACGTTTTAAATGTCTTTCAAATGTTTTTTAACCTACTTCTGAACATTATTTACACTAAATTGGTTAGAAGACATTTAATGCATAACTTTGGAAAGCAATTGTACGTTGTAATATAAAAATCATCAAAAATACTTCGACAACTATTAATAATTTTAAAAATGCATTTGCTTCCCAAAAACTCCTTTTGTAAAATTTTAAATTTGATTTTTTGTGTTGTAAATATATCGATACATACAATTTTATTGAAAAATATTAAACTGGAAATTTAAACTTTTTCTTCCGCTATTATTTTTATTTCCGCTATTTCCTTCGCTATTTTTTTTTTCAGCCATGGATGTTCAGGTTGGCTCCGTTCTTGGTCGTCACTCGGTAACAAAAGAGCTTTACGCTGTTCATCGAAATAAAAAAATGTATTTGATGTTTCATAATTACTACAAAAAATGGTTGGCAATAACAAATCAGCAGTTTTTAAACGACGTTTTCAACCAACTCGATTCAACTTTTGTAAAAAATTTAGAAGACGATTATGAACAAATTTATACTCTTGGGCCATATCAATGGTTAGGTAAATAAATGTTACCATAAATAACATTTATGTTAAAATAAATATTATTTATAATATTTATATTTTTTTCCTGAGCGTAATTGAATATTCTTGCATTTTTGTGGATTTTTCGAATGTTTAGGAAACGCAGAAGGACTGTTTTTTCGAAAGCTGAAAAGCGATTCATGGATACAAAGAGTAAAGTGGATGCTATGAATAAATTTTTTA